GCAAATGAAAGACTGCTGTGAAGATAGGTATAAGATACGATGAAATGCACGGAGCACATTACCAGTTAAACATAAATATCTATGAAATTCTGGGTTTACAAATTGAAATTAGTTTTCGGTACCGCAATCAGCTTAACATCTCACTTCCCAAGACTTAGAAAAGGAATGCGATGCATATTTACACAATTGTATAGTATCATCGAGCCGTGGTCTGCTAAAAAAGTGCATTAAGATTCTAGAAACGAGAGGGCGATGCGATTACAGGTAGTCAATCAAGAGACGACACGTATTTACAAGCTTTACTCTCCCAAATCCAACAATGACTCCAGTGTTCACGTCATGAAACACGTGACAACCAGTATATGGAGTCCCGTTAAATATCGATATACAGCGAGGAATAATCTTCTTAGATCTGTCATGAATTTGAAATGGCCGGTTGTCAAAACAGTGAGAGACATCTCTTCGCTTCCAAACTTCGAGACATTTCTTCGGTCAACGAGAAAAACATGACTACAATTTTAGGAAAAAGTGCAGGTCACCGTTCACACAAGTTAGCGATGAAGACATGATGATTTTTATCATCAGGATGACGTTAGAAAACAGAAAAACACTCTTCCTGACGGTTAAAGATCTGGCTTTGTCCAAAATTATGCCTTTATATGATCATCCTTCTTAACGCCTATGAGAATCAAATATCTCATATAGACTGAGTTTTCTTTGAAGTGCTTATTCACAGTCAGGAAAGCATCATTTGACATAAAATTCTGTCATAACCGTGCTCTGTGACTTAGAGATCTTTTGCGATCACTTCTTTGACTGCTGAGGAACGAGGTAACAGAAGCGAAGGCTAGTCATCGCAAACGGCTAGCTATACGCTCAAATTTAAAAAAAATTAAACCAACAACATTGTAATTAAATGAAACTATGACTATATTTCGTTTGATAAGCCTTACTTGTACTAGTCCCTCTGATCTGCCACGTTCCTGAGAAACAGGAACAAGCTGAGAGGCAAAATCTGACTTCAACTGCTCCTTCATTTTGCTCCAAATCTTTTCTGGCAAAGAAGAGTCCACCGCAGCGTCACTCTCAGTTGAGGATTCTCGCGTTTCATCCGGTGCTCCATCTGGCATAAAGCTGAACGCCAAGTCGCCGGTTCCACCCTTTTCGTTTTCGTTTCCGTTTCCTCCTTTCATGTGGTCAAGCATAACTCGATCCGGTGTCTTTCCTGTAGAAAACAAGTTATATCGGCCACTAGTCAGAATTTACAAAAAAACAAAGAATCAAACTAAATGCATCACTGATATAGAGAAGAACAATGGCTTTAAACAATGTTCATCTAGAAGTTAACATAAACAAAACTTTCGACTAAGCTAGAGCTACTCTTCTTCAGGCCAAAAATTCAATGTATACGTATAAACAATGTTCCACGCTGCTTTTCAGTATGACCACGAACGCGCGAAAGAAATAACCTATGTTCAGACACATCTGAGAGCGTTACGGTTTGAGTACTTTATGCCTGAAACCGGAAAAAGAAATGCAACGCACTCCAAACGTAAGAACGATCCAATCTTTCGTCTCATATGCCGAGACTTCGA